AACAGAGCTGTAACATCAACAATGTAAAAGGCGCGCCCAACATAGGGGGCCATTAAAGGCACAGAAAATACAAAAACAGTGATATAACACCAACAATATACCAGCAAGTATCTACCACCTCAGATTCAAACAGGGAATAAAGAGTAAAGAAGGAAGAAGAAAACAAGACCACAAGCTGGAATCCGGGAAAGCCAACACCGTACAGCATCAGAAACCCAGACGAGCCGGGGAGAGCTTGAGAAAAGCATATGTCAGCCATGCCTCCCATATTTTCAAAAATATCCATTGGGAGTCATTACGGATCGGGGCGGACTGACCATTTGGAAACTCAGGCACTGCCCGAGAGAGCCCGGGGTCAGTAGGGGGCCCCATGAGATGCCCCTGGTACCTTTTTCATAGGCTTTTTTGAGTTTGGGCAAGGACACAGGGGCCCCATGATCCCCTATTGCCCGGGGGCCCCATGAGTTGTCAGTCCACCCTGTTATGGATACTTGACATCTGTTCATTGAGCATCAGAGCGATCATACGGTCCTGTACCCCCTGCAGAGAGAAACATACAGCGCATCGGTTCCAGTAATTTACCAGCCCCTTTCATTCACGAATGAACACAATGGGTGATTGGTACCAATCACTCACTGTATTCATTCATAATTGAAGCATAGTAAACTTTTTTTTTTGGTGGGGATGGGGGGGGGGGGCCTTGTTAGGTTGGCTGTATGGGGCCCTGTGGTTTGGGGGAGTCCTGTCAGGTTGGCTGTAAGGGGCCCCGTGGTTTCTAACAGCAGCCCTGACCCCGGACAAAGGAAAGTTTTGCTGCCGGTACGTTTTCCCATGATATTTGCTAGATGTAGCTCTCAATGTCAGCCAGTCTGTCTCGACACATTTGGTTCCCAGTGTTTAGAAGGTGAAAGGAACAGAAAGACGAGAACGTGTTCCAACCAACACGCAGCTTTCCAGAAGAAGGCTTTGTTGTGGACGTGTTACCAGGAGAAGAGTAAATAACATAGGAGAGCCGATAAGAATAGCACAGTTATCTCATCTGAGCGTTCATCGAGTTCTCTTCACCCATCCAACCTCCCGACCACAGGCTTTTCTGGGAGGTAGACTGTGTAATTAGGCTTTGCTGTTGATGGCGGTTTTTCTAAATTGTGGACAACGAACGTGGCATTCAATATGGCTGCGCAATCTGAAGGTAGTAATAAACTGTCCTCATAAAACATCCGACCTACAGAAGAAATCTACAGAGCGGAGCCTCACATCTACTGTAAATTTCCTCCTGTCATCCTCCAAAGTCAGAGAAGGCCTAATAGGTTGTGCCGGGGACCTTGGGGAGGAAGTCTAAACTTCCCATCTCCTTTGATGCCATCTTGAACTGTCTCTGTGAGTAATGAGCGGGAGAAGGAGGTCTAGGTGACTTGGCTGATGATATAGAGAAGTAAATAAACATTAATTCAAACTTATGGATCTGAGAACTGAACGGGAGCAACTCATAAAAAAAAGTATATTTAAACCAACTCCAGAGGAACGGCCTCCATGAGAAATGTCATTCTCCTTCTGGCTTCCATCTACTACTACCCATAGAGTGGCTGGTGACTGCATCTCCTGATGGGCTCTAGGCCCTTGGGAACACCAACCATTGTGGGTATGGGCTAAAGCCTTTCACTGAGCACAACCACATGGAGGCCATGGGTGCTCAACCTGTGGCCCTGCAGGTGTTGCAGAACTACAAATCCCATGAGTGGATTGTGGATGGACTTCACCGACTCTGACAACTATGCCCAGTTCATGTTGAAATCCTCTTCAATACTGATTGGTCACTTTTTAAGGCCTGGGTGTCAAACTGACGGCCCTCCAGCTGTTGCTAAACTACAAGTCCCATGAGGCATTGCAAGATTGACAGTTACAAGCATGACTCCCAATGGCAAAGAAATGATGGGACTTGTAGTTCCGCAACAGCTGGAGGGCCACAGGTTGAGCACCCATGATTTAGGCAGATGCAGTTAGTCTCCCACTAGGTGCCTCTGTGACAGAATTGTGTCTGGTTACAGAAGGTAGTGTCATCAGGTACTAGGGCCCTTGCAGCTAGAGCCCTCCCGTAATGATGTCATGGGTGAGTCAGGAACCAGATACAAGGCAGGTTGGGAGGAACCGTAGTGCAGTTAAGGCATGGGAGCCAAACACCCTACAGCTAAGTAGATGTAGCCAGCGGGGCATAAGAATGAGCACCAAATTCTTTTTGAGCAGGCACTCAAAAAGGCACCCCAAGATGGCCACCAGGGTCACCTGCATGCAGTGCAGCCTCAGGGAACGAAGGTAGCCACAGAGAAATTACGTTTCTCCAGACTTCCTCGCCAGCTGCAGCAGCGCTCCGCCACCCACAGTGCAGAACTGGGACTGCACCTGACTACAAGGAGGTGGGGGAGAAGGGATAAAGGTAGGTTGGAGCAGGGCACTCTGGGCAGCTAAGTGCCTGTTATATTGACCACAATAGGTCATTTGGGTCGCCCCCAAATTGGAGATCCAGGGGTTTTCCAGCTTTCCAAAATTTCAAGACTATGTGTAAATATTCATTGGAATGAAAGAAGAATTGTACCAAATGCTCTACACGTCTAAACGCACCTAAACGCCAGTAATTTACATTGTGCAAAAAGACACACAGAGCAGCCATTCCCCACCTTTTTACCTCCCTTGAACCCATGAAAATAATTTTTCAGGTCTCGGGGAACCCCGGGTAGTCCATCAAATGTGGAGGCACAACGCCATTGCAGAGATCTTGGTGTATCTCTCTGGGGTCAGTCGTCTACGATGGCCGCTATCCCAACGTGACCCCGGCTAGCCATACTCTCCTCTATACCGTGTCTGCGATGGCCGCCATCCCAACGTGACCCCAGCTAGCCATACTCTCCTCTATACCGTGTCTGTGATGGCCGCCATCCCAACGTGACCCCAGCTAGCTATACTCTCCTTTATACCGTGTCTGTGATGGCCGCTATCCCAACGTGACCCCCCCGGCTAGCCATACTCTCCTTTATACCGTGTCTGCGATGCCGCTATCCCAACGTGACCCCGGCTAGCCATACTCTTCTTTATACCGTGTCTGCGATGGCCGCTATCCCAACGTGACCCCGGCTAGCCATACTCTCCTTTATACCGTGTCTGCGATGGCCGCCATCCCAACGTGACCCCAGCTAGCCATACTCTCCTTTATACCGTGTCTGCGATGGCTGCTATCCCAACGTGACCCCAGCTAGCCATACTCTCCTTTATACCGTGTCTGTGACGGCCGCTATCCCAACGTGACCCCAGCTAGCCAAACTCTCCTTTATACCGTGTCTGCGATGGCCGCTATCCCAACGTGACCCCGGCTAGCCATACTCTCCTTTATACCGTGTCTGCGATGGCCGCCATCCCAACGTGACCCCAGCTAGCCATACTCTCCTTTATACCGTGTCTGCGATGGCTGCTATCCCAACGTGACCCCAGCTAGCCATACTCTCCTTTTATACCGTGTCTGTGACGGCCGCTATCCCAACGTGACCCCAGCTAGCCAAACTCTCCTTTATACCGTGTCTGCGATGGCCGCCATCCCAACGTGACCCCAGCTAGTCATACTCTCCTTTATACCGTGTCTGTGTGATGGCCGCTATCCCAACGTGACCCCAGCTAGCCATACTCTCCTCTATACCGTGTCTGCGATGGCCGCCATCCCAACGTGACCCCAGCTAGTCATACTCTCCTTTATACCGTGTCTGTGATGGCCGCTATCCCACAACGTGACCCCGGCTAGCCATACTCTCCTCTATACCATGTCTGCGATGGCCGCCATCCCAACGTGACCCCAGCTAGCCATACTCTTCTTTATACCCGTGTCTGCGATGGCCGCTATCCCAACGTGACCCCAGCTAGCCATACTCTCCTTTATACCGTGTCTGCGATGGCCGCTATCCCAACGTGACCCCAGCTAGCCATACTCTCCTTTATACCGTGTCTGCGATGGCCGCTATCCCAACGTGACCCCAGCTAGCCATACTCTTCTTTATACCGTGTCTGCGATGGCCGCTATCCCAACATGACCCCAGCTAGCCAAACTCTCCTTTATACCATGTCTGTGATGGCCTCCATCCCAACGTGACCCCAGCTAGCCAAACTCTCCTTTATACCGTGTCTGCGATGGCCGCCATCCCAACGTGACCCCAGCTAGCCATACTCTCCTTGTCACAGACTGCCAGTGCCTCTCCCATCCCCCGCCATATCCCTCCACCCCTCCCTTCCTCCTTGTACATTAGAAGGTCTGTGGGGCTTCCATGGACAGGGCTGGGCCAGCCGTTGCCGAGGCAACCTAGCCGCGTCCCACATGATCTTCAAGAGACCCACACAGGAAGCAGCCTTCCCTTTTTGTTCCTGGCCATGTGGGTAGAATCATCCTGCTCCCAGAAAGATGTTGGGAGGCTCGGGTGAGGGGGACTGAGCCTCCCCAGCCATCCCCCCTGCGCGCTCTGCAGACCCCCAAAAGGTCAGGACTGTAGCCCTCTACAATACCCCAGGGTTGGGAGTCTCCCCACAGCTGCCTCTGCATGAGCCTTCTCCATCAAAGGTCAGAACCCCACAGCTGAGACCCTGCCAGTCTGTAAGCCTGTCTACTGGGCACCCTTGCACCCTGTCTGCTGCTGAGTGCCCTGGGAGCTGTGGCTGAGGGACCCTGCACACTATCCATGGCTGCGTGTCCCTGGAGGCTGTCTGCTGCTGAGTGCCCTGGGAGCTGCTGCTGTCTGCTGATCGCTGGTTGTCCCTGGAACGCTGACCGCTGGTCGTCAGTTCCTGCTGTCTGAGACGCCTGCCGCTGAGGGTCTGCAAGCTGCTTACCGTGAGTGTCCTGAACTGTTCCTGTTGTGCGCACCGACCACCCGTTGTACTGAACTGTTCGTGTTGTGCGCACTGACCACCCGTGTCCTGAACTGTCCCCGCTGTGTGCACTAACCACCCGTGTCTTGAACTGTTTCTGTTGCGCGCACTGACCACCCGTGTCCTGAACTGTTCCTGCTGTGTGCACTGACCACCCGTGTCCTGAACTGTTCCTGCTGTGTGCACTGACCACCCGTGTCCTGAACTGTTCCTGCTGTGTGCACTGACCACCCGTGTCCTGAACTGTTCCTGTTGTGTGCACCGACCACCCATGTTCTGAAAACTGTCCCCGATGTGTGCACCAACCACCCGTGTTCCGAACCGTCCCGCTGTGTGTGCACTGACCACCCGTGTCCTGATGGCATGCTCAGAGTATAGCTACCTGTGGTGCCCCTGAGTGCTTGAGCCATCGCTACCTGTTGAGTCCCTGTGAACCCAATGACCCTAGAAAGCTGGGTGGGAGCTGTGCTGTGGCCAGCCTCCACAGCTAGAGTCCCGTTGAGTCCCCCGAGGCCCCATGCCCAGATGGTAGGTTTGCAGCCTGTTGCCCGATGCCCGAAGCCCCTGCCCAGTGGTAGGTTGCCGTCTGTTGCCCGAGACCCCTGCCCAGTGGTAGGTTGCCGTCTGTTGCCCCGAGTCTCCTGCCCAGTGGTAGATTGCCGTCTGTTGCCCGAGTCTCCTGCCCAGTGGTAGGTTGCTGCCTGTTGCCCGAAGCCCCTGCCCAGTGGTAGGTTGCTGTCTGTTGTGCCCGAGGCCCCTGCCCAGTGGTAGGTTGCCGTCTGTTGCCCGAGTCCCCTGCCCAGTGGTAGGTTTGCCGTCGAACTGTTGCCCGAGTCCCCCTGCCCAGGGGTAGGTTGCCGTCTGTTGCCCGAGTCCCCTGCCCAGTGGTAGGTTGCCGTCTGTTGCCCGAGTCCCCTGTCCAGTGGTAGGTTGCCGCCTGTTGCCCGAGTCTCCAATCCGCTGTCCAGGTCTCACGGAGGGAGCTCGGCTGAGGCCCCAAGTCGAGGGGGGAGATTGCCTGCCTATCGCTGAAGATCCCCCCCCGTGCCTGGAATAGTCCCTGGTTTGCGCACACACATCACGCTCCCTGCCATTTCCCCATTGAGTGTCTGTCAATTTGTTGCTTCAATAAAGTTTGTGTGTTCCCCATCTTCTCCGTGTGCTCTGTCCTGCCTACGATTCCGTTACACTCCTCTATACCGTGTCTGCGGTGGTGTTCGTTTTTAAACCTGTCTGCGTTCGTCCCATCTAGTCTGATAATATGAAAAAAAAATCTTCCTGAAAGTGAGCAATTTCCCTGATCTTCCTTCCCTGGGACCCACCAGTGGTAGTGCCCTTCCCCATTGAACGCTAGAGGCCACACTAACGTGGTCACATGACTAGCGATGACCTATAGGACCATTTGAGCGGGAGCAACACATCCTCATTATGTGGTACATCCTCCTTGTGAACATTATCGCCAACGCATGATACGCTAGAACAACTTTCCTGAGACGTGTTGATGGTGACTACAACATACTTCACATGTCAGGGATGATGTTACGTCATAAATGATGATACATGTTTCACAGAATCGATATTGGAAGCAATGTTTTTTGGCACCTTAAAAGTCCCACTTTGTGTATGACATTTCATCAATCCCGACATCCCCACCTCCGGTACAGTATGAGAACACGCGGAGCCCCATTCATCAATCCCGACATCCCCGCCTCCGTACAGTATAGAGAACACCCGCGGAGCCCCATTCATCAATCCCGACATCCCCGCCTCCGTTACAGTACGAGAACACGCGGAGCCCCATTCATCAATCCCGAGATCCCCACCTCCTCCGTACAGTACGAGAACACGCGAGCCCCATTCATCAATCCGATATCCGCACCTCCGGTACAGTACGAGAACACGCGGAGCCCCATTCATCAATCCCGACATCCCCACCTCCCGGTACAGTATGAGAACACGCGGAGCCCCATTCATCAATCCCGACATCCCCACCTCCGGTAGCAGTACGAGAACACGCGGAGCCCCATTCATCAATCCCGACATCCCACACCCTCCGGTACAGTACGAGAACACGCGGAGCCCCATTCATCAATCCCGACATCCCCACCTCCGGTACAACGTACGAGAACACGCGGAGCCCCATTCATCAATCCCGACATCCCCGCCTCCGTACAGGACGGGAACACGCGGAGCCCCATTCATCAATCCCGACATCCCCGCCTCCGGTACAGTATGAGAACACCGCGGAGCCCCATTCATCAATCCCGACATCCCCACCTCCGTACAGTACGGGAAACACGCGGAGCCCCATTCATCAATCCCACGACATCCCCCCGCCTCCGGTACAGTACGGAACACGCGGAGCCCCATTCATCAATCCCGACATCCCCGCCTCCGGTACAGTATGAGAACACGCAGAGCCCCATTCATCAATCCCGACATCCCCACCTCCAGTACAGTATGAGAACACGCGGAGCCCATTCATGCAATCCCGACATCCCCCACCTCCGGTACAGTACGAGAACACGCGGAGAGCCCCATTCATCAATCCCGACATCCCCACCTCCGGTACAGTACGAGAACACGCAGAGCCCCATTCATCAATCCCGACATCCCCACCTCACGGTACAGTATGAGAAACACGCGGAGCCCCCATTCATCAATCCCGACATCCCCACCTCCGGTACACAGTACGGGAACACGCGGAGCCCCATTCATCAATCCCGACATCCCCACCTCCGGTACAGTACGAGAACACGCCTAGCCCCATTCATCAATCCCGACATCCACACCCTCCGGTACAGTACGAGAAACACGCGGAGCCCCATTCATCAATTTCCCTCGACATCCCCGCCTCCGGTACAGTACGAGAGAACACGCGGAGCCCCATTCATCAATCCCGACATCCCCCACCTCCAGTACAGTACGAGAACACCGGGAGCCCCATTCAGTCATCAATCCCGACATCCCCACCTCCAGTACAGTACGGGAACACGCGGAGCCCCCATTCATCAATCCTGACATCCCCACCTCCGGTACAGTATTAGAACACGCGGAGCCCCATTCATCAATCCCGACATCCCCACCTCTAGTACAGTGTGAGAACACGCGGAGCCCCATTCATCAATCCCGACATCCCCCTGACCTCCTGTACAGTACGAGAACACGCGGAGCCTCATTCATCAATCCCCGATATCCGCACCTCCGGTACAGTACGAGAACACGCGGAGCCCCATTCATCAATCCCGACATCCCCACCGCCGGTACAGTACGAGAACACGCGGAGCCCCATTCATCAATCCCGACCATCCCCACCGCCGGTACAGTAACGAGAACACGCGGAGCCCCATTCATCAATCCCGACATCCCCACCTCCGGTACAGTACGAGAGAACACGCGGAGCCCCATTCATCAATCCCGACATCCGCACCTCCGGTACAGTACGGGAACACGCGGAGCCCCATTCATCAAACAATCCCGACATCCCCACCTCCGGTACAGTACGAGAAACACGCGGAGCCCCATTCATCAATCCCTGACATCCCCACCTCCGGTACAGTATGAGAACACGCGGAGCCCCATTCATCAATCCTGACATCCCCCCACCTCCGGTACAGTACGAGAACACGCGGAGCCCCATTCATTAATCCCGACATCCCCCCCTCCGGTACAGTACGAGAACACGCGGAGCCTCATTCATCAATCCCGACATCCGCACCTCCGGTACAGTACGAGAACACGCGGAGCCCCATTCATCAATCCCGACATCCCCACCTCCGGTACAGTTACGAGAACACGCGGAGCCCCATTCATCAATCCGACATCCCCACCTCCGGTACAGTATGAGAACACGCGGAGCCCCCCCATTCATTAATCCCGACATCCCCACCTCCAGTACAGTACGAGAACACGCGGAGCCTCATTCATCAATCCCGACATCCGCACCTCCGGTACAGTATGAGAACATGCGGAAAGCCCCATTCATCAATCCCGACATCCCCACCCTCCAGTACAGTACGAGAAAACACGCGGAGCCCCATTCATCAATCCCGACATCCCCACCTCCAGTACAGTACGAGAACACGCGGAGCCCCATTCATCAATCCCGAGATCCCCACCTCCGGTACAGTATGAGAACAAGCGGAGCCCCATTCATCAATCCCGACATCCCCACCTCCATGTACAGTATGAGAACACACGCGGAGCCTCATTCATCAATCCCGACATCCGCACCTCCGGTACAGTACGAGAAACACGCGGAGCCCCATTCATCAATCCCGACATCCCCCACCTCCGGTACAGTATGAGAAAACACGCGGAGCCCCATTGTTTATAATTGTAAAAGTCGTTCACATTTCAGCCGTCAGTTCACCTGCAGCTCGATCACCCATGCCCAGAGAAGTGCCCAGAGAACACAGGCAGGGTTCTGACCCCATAGACCGCAATGGAAGAGCTTGTAAACGCACCACACATGCACACAGCATCTCTGCACTTGAGGAACTCCTCTCCTCCCTAGATATCCTCGCTCTGTAGCTGATTTCCTCCTCTAGTACTCCTCTCCCCTTCCAAAATTCTTCACCTCCCCTAGAACTTGCTTTCCTCCCCTTAGGACAGCTCTCCCCCCCAGAACACCTCCCCTCCTTTCCTCTAGAACTCCTCTCCTCCTTTAACAACTGCCCATCCCTCTAGAACTCCTCCCCTCCCCTAGGATGGCTGTTCTTCTCTAGAACCACTCTGCTCCTCTAGAACTGCTCTCCTCCCCTAGAACTCTCCCCCTCTCCTAAGGAAGGCTCTCCTCTTCTAGAACTGCTCTCCTCATCTAGAACTCCTTTCCACCTCTAGAACTCCTCTCCACCAATAGAACTCCTCTCCTCCCCTATAAAACCCCTCCTCCCTCATCTAGAACTGCTCTGCTTTCCTCCCCTAGTACTCCTCCCCTCTCCTAGGACGGCTCTCCTCTTCTAGAACTCCTGTCCTTTCCCTGGAACTCCTCTCATCTAGAACTCCTCTCCACCTCTAGAGCTCCTCATCTAGAACTGCTCTCCTCCCCTAGAACTCCTCTCCCACTGTAGAACTGCTCTCTTCCTCTAGAGCTCCTCTAGAATTCCTCTCCTCATATAGAATTCTTCTCCTCCTCTAGAACAGCTCTCCTCCGCTAGAACTACCCTCTCCCTCCAAACCTCCTCAGAACTCCTCTCCTCCTCTAGAACTGCTCTCCCCCTCTAGAACTCCTCCCCTCCCCTAGGACAGCTCTCCTCTTCTAAAATGGCTCTCCCCACTGAAACTCCTCTGCTCCTCTAGAACTTCTCCCCCTCCCCTGGGATGGCTCTCCACCTCTAGAACTCCTCACCTCATCTAGAACTCCTCTCTTCCTCTAGAACTCCTCTCCTCCCCTAGCACTTCTCCCCTAGGGTGGCTCTCCTCTTCTAGAACTCCTCATCTGGAATTCCTCTCCCCCCATAGAACTCCTCATCTACAACTCCTCTCCACATCTAGAAGTCCTCTCCCTCCCTAGAACTCCTCTCCCTGCTCAGGAAACAAACACCTCCAGCTAGATACACCTGAGAACATTTGCACAAAGCTTGTAAAACACGAAGGTGTTAATGAGAATAAAATCACACAAAGAAAATCTTTGAAATGCCCAGAACTCATCTCTGCTCCGCCGAGAGTTCAGACTCCGTCCTTCATGCACAGAGACGCTGAGACTGCAGCTTTTCCTACAACACTGAACCTGACCAGCCGGTTATAGAAGGAGCAGAACGGACCACTCAGTCCCTTCAAAATGAAGACCAGCAATGCCTACCTCAATACCTACAGGACAGAAGCACATATACCAGCGTGTATATAACTGACCTGCGGTGCAACAATTGCAGAATAATCCTCTCTGAGGCACGCCGAATTACCTGTAAAACTTCTCATTGGGTTGAATCTCTCCAGGAAAGCCCAGCATCCCACAGACCACTCTGCTATTGTCCAGAGTCCAGCCTTGGTCACAAATCTGCCTCCACCGGCCATGGTGCTTCACCTCCACTATGCCTTCTGTAACA